AATATTAGAATAATCTAACATAAATATTCTTATGTCAGAAGTCTAATAATAACCATATTTTTGCCAGATTTTTTTAAGAAAAATGAATTAACATACAACTTCGTCATAAAGCCAGATAATTTCTTAAAATTTTGGGAAAAAATATTGTTTTAAAAAATTTATTTTTCAACATATTATATGTTGTAAAATATTAAAATTTTTACGGTTTTACGGCATAACTCATACTTATTCATTTTATTTAAAATATTATGTTTATCCGGCGATATGCCCATATTATATTAATATATTACTGAAGAATTAAAATATATTATATTATACCAGTTATTACATGAATTAATATTCTTATGTCAGAAGTCTAATAATAACCATATTTTTGCCAGATTTTTTTAAGAAAAATGAATTAACATACAACTTCGCCATAAAACCAGATGATTTTTTAAAAATTTAGGGAAAAATATATGTTTCAAAAAAAAATTTTCAACATATTATATTTTTTAAAATTTTTACGGTTTTACGGCATAACTATTATACTTATTCATTTTACTCTAAAATATAATGACTTTTATCCGGCGATATGTCAGATATTATAATATTATGTTATGATTGTATTTTACATAAACTATTAAATGAATTATTACATAAATTATTAAATAAACGTATAATACAGAGCCCCCCGAACGCTTTTGTATCAGTTTCAACATATTGTTTATTAAAAATATTTTATGTAATTTTATTGCATAAATTATTAAATGAATTATTAAATAAACTTGCTAGGCGGGGCACGGCCCGAACGCTTTTGTAAAATAATTTATGTAATCTATTACATAAATTATTAAATAAACTTGTGAGGCGGGGCACGGCCCGAACGCTTTTGTAAATAATGTATGTAATCTATTACATAAATTATTAAATAAACTTATGATGCGGAGCACGGCCCGAACGCTTTTGTAAAATATTTGATGTAAGTTATTAAATAAATTATTAAATAAACTTATGATGCGGAGCACGGCCCGAACGCTTTTGTAAAATATTTGATGTAAGTTATTAGATACATTATTAAATAAACTTATGATGCGGAGCACGGCCCGAACGCTTTTGTAAAATATTTGATGTAAGTTATTAAATAAATTATTAAATAAACTTATGATGCGGAGCACGGCCCGAACGCTTTTGTAAAATATTTGATGTAAGTTATTAAATAAATTATTAAATAAACTTATGATGCGGAGCACGGCCCGAACGCTTTTGTAAAATATTTGATGTAAGTTATTAAATACATTACTACAAAATTTATTACAAAAAATATTACACAAAATATTACGAAAAATATTACATAAACTTATGATGCGGAGCAGGGCGAAAGAACAAATGAAGAAGAAGGCCAGAAAAAAATGAAGAAGGCGACGAACTCTTTTTACTGATTTTTTTAATTATAGGTATGTCCAGTGAGAAAGGAACTGCAGCGTGTTTACTGTCTGTCAAGGAAAGTCGGAGTCACCTCAGTCGAGGAAGTTTCGCTAACTCCGAAGGCGGGGTGTTAAACATTCTGCCAGGAACAGTAACACAGCTAGTGCAGTGTAGATAATGTACAGGAACAGCCGGAGTCACGCCCGTGACGTGCAGGCTCGAGACCAGCGGACACAGCGACCGTAACAGGAAAAGTGACCGCTTCAGTTTGAGAGTAGGAACCGTAGTGAAGCCCGTTGTTTAACAAAAGAGCAAAAAGAGAAGGAGCTTGCAGAGCTCAAGGAAGCAAAGGAAAAAGAAGTGAACGAGTTGAGCGAAGAGTTGCGGAAGCTCAAGAAGAGAAAGAGCGTAAGTGCTGCGCCTCCTCTTGACGAAGAGAAGGAAGAAGAGTTACGCAAAGCAAAAGAGGAAAGAAAGAAGATGAAAGAAACGATAAAAGAGCTGGGAAAAGGAAACCAAAAGCTGGAAGAAGAGCTGGAAAAGATGAAGGAACGCGAGCGCATAGCGGAGGATCCCGAGGCAGCGACCGCACCGGTCGTTTGCTCTTTGTGCTCGAGGTTCGGGCATTCAGCAGATGTTTGCTGGGACGGCGACTTTAACTATAGCAACGGACAGTACCAGCCGATATGCCAAAGAGATGGTATGTCAAAAGAGGATTTTGCGATTTGGTTTCGCAAGAACGAGCCTGTGGTGAGGCGTGCTTACGCAAATCGGCTAGAAGCTTCGAAGAAGAAGTACAGAACGGACAATCCCGGTAAAGGAAAGGGAAGAAAGAGCAAAAGAGTTGAAGGGAAAAAGAGAAGAAAAAGGAGAAGAAAGAGACCGTACCTCAGGTCTATAAACAAGGAGGGAGAAAAGAGAGAGACCGTACCTCAGGTCTATAAACAATGAGGCGGGAGAAGAGAGAGAGACCAATCCTCGGGTCTATAAAGACAGAGGGATTTGAAGAAGAGGGGGTCAAGCATCCCCAAAGAGTTTTGCAGCACAGCTGCCGAGGAAGTTTCACAAACAATCCGACCTCGTGTTGGATAAGCGGAAAACCGCTAAAGAGGAGTGAGTTCTTTTGTGGCGAAAGCCAAAGAAGTGAAACGAAGTAAAGAGCTTCGTGAGAGCGGCCGTAGGTGTAGCTCTTGTCTCTGACGTTTCACAAAGCACGAAGCAGTGCACCACGACGTGTATAAAAGAGAAGTGAGCGACTGTTTTGGGTTCGTAGCACCTCTAGGAAGGAAAAAGTGGAAGGAGGCTGCAACGAAGAGGGGGTAACAAACATTTCGCTTCGGAGTGTGTTGCCCTGTAATCCTGTAGTTGAGCTGTTTGCCACTAGTTTTGTATAGCTTGGAACAAATGTTCCACTGTGGTGTTTAGGCTCAAGGGAAGCACCCGAGACAGTTCGTGCTCCCAAGGAAAAGTGACGAGCGAATATCAGTGTTCAGCGAAAGGGTTTGGAACGTACCCGTAAAGCGTTTTATAACGCAAAGAGGAAGGAACAAAAGAACCCTGCAAGTGTTTTGCGGCCAAACGAAATGTGGTTGCCGAAAGGAAGCGAGGTGTGTGCTACTGTACGTGTATACCTCAGTTGACCTTTGGACAATCCCCGGAGTTGCGGGTGGAAAGGCGGGTACTGCATGGATCGGTGGAGCGAGGAGTGCCCGCAAGGCCAGAACGTGAAGATTTGTACAGCGACACAAACCTCGAGGCAGGTTGTTGATTGTCTTGTATAGGTAAAGTCTGGGAGCCCAAGGCTACGGCATGGAATCATGCATGTATAGTTGTGACCGTGCAGCGCCTTTTTGGTTCAGCAGTGAAAAGTGTGACCGCGTAGGGTCGTACAGCTTAACTGATGCAAAGGATCGCCGCCGGGGGCAAACAAAATGAAGTTTGGCTCAATGGCTGAGCGCTTCAATGCCGACGACCAATTCAGGACTAGGATGATGCAAGAGTGCCGCAACATGGAGGATGTGCAAAGGTTCAACTACTTGTCGTTCGCAGTCCTCCCGGACCCAGGGCGATCGGAAGAGCAACGCCACCTTCGGGCGAGGCCCCACTATAAATCCGATGCAGCAGCCCAGGCTGGAATCGGTCCGGCAAAGCTGGTGTTCTATGCCCACTGCGAAGTGGAGCCCCTATGCGCACTGCGTTTGGTGGATGACATCGCCAATGTCCATATCGGTGTGACGTACATGGGCGCTTTTCTCTGTCCCTGCCTCTTCTGTGAAATTGCAGCCGTGAACCAAAATGCACGGAGGATCCTCACGTTAGATGGAGAGGTTCACCTCAACTCCGAAAGCACCGACGACCTTGCTGCTGAGCTCGCACAGATCCTCGCCGACACTGTCCCAAGTGCTGAGCGCCAGAACGCCGGTACTGAGCGCCTGGCTGAGCAAAAGCACCAGCCTACCCCAAAGGGGCATGGCAGTGCCGATGAGCTTCAACTCTACCGTGGACATACTCAGGCCTAATGGGACGAGTATAATCGCATGCGCGGCAGCCGATATTCGCAACCCGAGTGGGGTGCCTGGAACCGCTCCCGCCGGTATTGATTAGCGGATTGTTTTTTGGTTCTATCGCGTATGCTTTGGACACGCAGGGCTTCCCTACGCTGTGTTTTATATATGCTCGCTTCTGCACAAAACCATGAATTCCACTGTTAGCCCGGGGCAGCCTGGAGCCAGTGTATGATCGCCACCTTACTTGGAGCAGCACGGCGAGGGGGGTGTAGATTTTACCTTGTCTCCACATAAACTTTTGCTGTCCTTAGCGTTGTTCTTACGCGACCTCATCGGGGGGCTGAAGTCCCCAACGGATAAAAGTCTCCGCAGGACTTACCGGTTTTCGTCGCGTGCCTAGCTGTAACCATTGAAACTTCACTTGTCACACTCCTTTTGACCAATATTTTCACCCTCCCCCCTGTATCAGACCATGCCATTGGTGGGGGGCGGGGGGGGCCGGTTAGCAGACAGGAATACGTAAACCAAAGAATCATACCGGGGGGCAAGAAAAAATGCACGACTGTGAACGGCCTATCCACGCGCTTTTGTCCTGTTGCCGCTGCTTGCATTCATGATGCCATCGATTGTGCTGAGCAGTATAGGTAGCGGAAAAGTTTTTCAGTCACGCGTTTGCTCGTCTTTGTTTTGCGATGTACGGCGCAGGCACGTGTTTGGGAAGCAGGGGGCATGCGGGCCTCAGTTTGAATCTGGTGTCGCTGTGACACATCAGTTCATATTTGTTGTGCTTTCAATGCCCGCTCTCAATGTAAGCTGTCTGGCGCACACTGATTTGTCGAAACTTCGGCCGAACCTGTGCATGCTCTCGGAGGTTTCTCCGACTTGACGCAGTGTCGACGTGTTTGGATGTCCCGATTGCCCCGAATTCCGGAGGAACGTGCCAGTACACTTGTGGCATGAGCTCCAACATGTAGCTTGGTGTTGCATTCCGACAGAGGACTAATTGGTTACCCACATGCCGTATACAGAAAGCGACAAATAACATTTGATGAAACAAACAACAACCCGTGTAAATAGTTCGAAGCAATGCCCGTGGGATCCAATGGCAGACGAGGCCCTGCCCTTCTAGAGCTTTCATGCATGTGCGCGAGGGTTATTGCATCGTGAGGCTTTCCTGCATGGCCTCGTCGACAGGCCATGTCCAAGCAGCGCCACGAGGTCTGAAGACGATGAAAACGAGTTTTTGACCAGGTTAGAAGTCTCCTGTTCCTGGCCAGCACAGTGTTGGTTAGCACTGCCGTTGGCACTCTCTTCGTTCCTGCGCGGCCCCAAGTTGGGACGACTCCACTCGGCCCTAGGCGCGTCGGTGTCTGCCAGTGCCAGGCCAGCTCCAAGACTCGTCTCGCGTCCAGTCGAAAGACCACTCGGGCAGCAGAAGGAAAGCCGTCTTGACCTTAAACCGCTCTCAAGCGCCACAAGAAGGAGGGTCTTGACACCTCAGGTCGGAAGAATACGACCAGTACGATTGGCAACGTGTCTCAGGACCGAAAGGGCAAAGGTGAGTTTCCGTGTCGTGACAATCGACGGAGGATCCAGGAACGTGAGGGACGAGGCCACTAATCAGCTCCTAGTCGTATGGTGTTTTTCACTCTACTTTTTGGCTCAAAGAGGTCTTGCCGGACTTGGCCGACTTGCCGGATTTGCCGGACTTCGGCGATCAGGAGGAGCCGACGGGTCGGATTGTTGTGCAACGCTGCAAGCCGCTGCAACGCTGCTGCTTCCTACGTCCCGCGTTCTGCCATGTTCGTGTCAGGAAGTAAGCGGTGAAGGAGAGGTCAAAGCAAAAGTCCAGGCCCTTGCGACTGGGAAGTTGCGGAACATACCCGCTTGGAGTTTGGGCCGATTGTTGACAGCGGGCTCTCAAACAACAAGCTCCCAACAACTTCGGGGCAGCCCACTATGCTTGTTGCACTTCACAACCTGGCACAAGCTGCGAAAGTTTCGTGCCGTTTGTTTTGCAGGCTTAGCGGGCATAAGTGTAGTATGCATTGCAATAATTAGGGATGTTGTTTGTTCCAGAAAGCCCAAGTTCAGAAACAGTGCCCAGCAGCAAGATCTGAAGAGCAAGAATGTACAAGAAAAAGCTCACTTGGACAGACTGCGAGTGTGATCGCGAGCGCCGGGACGGATTGCGGTTCGGAGGTGCGTGAGGTGAACTTGCCGGACCTGCCGGGCCTCGTCGGGGGCTCCAAGTGCCAAGAGCTGCGGACTCTGCCGGCAAAAGCTGCGCTGCAGAGGACGAAGACCTTCTGCCCCCGGGGCCCAACTCGCCAAGTGCTGTTTCAGCACTGAGCCGCTGAGCAGAGCCCTCGCCCCTCCGCGCCAGGCCGAACCCGTGGTCCGACGGCGGCCTGGGCCAGGGACTCAGGGACCCAGGACAAGCGCGCAGCGGCCATGCCGCTTTGTACCGCCGCGGCAAGCGCCGAGGCTTCCTGGAATGGACGGGCATCTGGGCGGGACTACTGACAGTGGTGCTCGCTGTGGGTGCCGGTGGCTCCTGGATTATCGCCAGGCTGCGCCGCATTCCACCACATTGCACCGCGGTGTCGCAGCCTTTTTGTCTCGTTCCAGTCAGGCTGCAGCTCGAGCCCGAGGTCGCGGGACAGCTGCCGGCACCTGAGAAGGGGAAGGGAAGACAAGCAAGAGGGCGCGGCGCTTTGCGGCTTCTTGTCGCTTTCAGCTTGGACTTCCTGAAGCCTCTGCTCAACGTCTACCAGCTCCTTTTCCTGGCTAGGGCCAGGGACTCAGGGCCCCTCCTGGGGCCCCTTTCAGGGCCCCAGGCGAAGCTCAGCTCCTGTCAGGTCTTGCTAGCACAGTTCCCGAAGGCCTCGGCCTCGGGCCTCCAACCAAACGCACTTTGCAGATGTGCCGCGAGTGCGTGCCGTGCGTGCGCTGCGGCCTGCTGCCCGCCCTGGTGCCAGCTCAAGACGACGGATTGGCCCTATGCAATCGTCCACTATCCAACGGAGTTCGTCCTGGGTCCCACGCGTGCCGCTCAGAAGAACGCACGCTGGTGGTGAGCAGCATGAAGTTCCAAGGCGCATGATTCTAAAGCCTGAAGCTGGTGTAGATGTGCCGTGGTGGCAGCTCAGATCTGTCAAGAGACGTCAACACAGATGCAGGGCTTGCCAGGTGTCGCCTTTCGTTTGGCTTCTCTTCACCTCCCTGGTGGCGGAGTTGCTCACAGGATCCTTTGGCATCCTGCAAATGGTCAAGCACGCAGCCGAGAGAGCACAGTGCAAGAGCGCAGTGCCAGTGACAGTGTGCCGAGAGAGCAGTTCTCCTCAGGGACTCATCTCGATCACGCCTTGGCGACACAGTGATGAGCATTCGGCAGGAAGCTCGAAGATGATCTTGAAGTGATGTGAATACGCTCTATTCGGTGTCCGCTCAGGTAGATGCTTGAATTCTCCGCTGCAGCGACAAACAAAAATCTGTGAGCTGCGACGAGTTCTCCTCTTCTTCGCGTTTTTCCGCGGCTCTGCCCAGTGACAGCCTGGAAGGCAACACAGACAGCCTAGGACTTAGGACTGCTTGCGAGATCGCGCTGCAGAACCTCCCCTCTTGCACAGAGCAGAACCGAGCAGAGTCCAAGGCCTCATCAAGCCCTCGTCATCCCAGGAAGCCCCAAGCTCTGAAGCTACTGTCGGTGCCATGGCCTCCATGCGGAGGCAGGCCCCACAAAAAAGAGGCACAAACAGAATTCTGGCTTTTCTTGCGATCGCCAGCGCCGGTTTCAGCGCCAGCTGCTTTCTCGTCGGATTCTCCTCTTTGCCCTCCCGCTCCTCGCGGCGGCCGGGGCGGGTTTCGCGGGCTTCGCGCTTGCCAAGAGGAGGCGTCTCCTTGGACTACGCGCAGAGCCTGACCGGCGCCCCAGGGTCTCGTGAGCTCATCTCAGAGTTCAAGAGGAGCTATCGAGAGAACCCCTTCCCCGAGAAGCTGGGACTCTTCTTCCCGGATCATGACCGGATCCTTTCGCTGCTCTACCAAAGCGGAAGATCGAACTACACGGAGAGCGGCTTCTTGCGCACCCTCGATTTGGTCTTCCGGCAGCTCTATGACTTTGGGCCTTCGGCCTGGCCTCTTTTGACAGAGCTCCTGGACAAGAAGCATCCTTGGACCAAGGCTTTCTGCCAAGAAATCATCGCCGAAGGACCCGAGGTTTGGAGCCCCTTCGAGTTCTTTTCCCTGAACTTGGACAGCCTGGCGCCTCTGCAGCGCTACGCCTTCCCGGAGCTCGAGTCGCAGTCCAAGACCGGCTTCCGCGTCTTGGAAAAATGGCTCCAACGCTTGAACGAGGCCGCCAAAGCAGATCCCCAAATGCAAAACCTGCTGGAGGCACTGAAGATCCAGGCGCCAAAAAGGGGTCAGAACAGGACGAAGAGATGGGTGGGGCGGCGGGGTGTTGCTCTCTCTATCAGGACACCCGGAACCACCAGGAGCAGGCGCGTGTGGGGACAATCTGTCTCTCCTCTGAAGGCTTTTTTTACTCAAGGCTGTTTTCGTTCTCAAAGGCGATGCGGCTGCGGCCTCTAGAGGATCTCCTGGAGTACGAGCTGGCAAAGGTGGCGAAAAGCATTTTCGAGGCCTGCGAGGTCGTTCCGGACGCGACAGCAGCACTCTTGACGGCCAGAGACCGCCGGAAGCGCACCGTTCTCCACCTCGCTGCAATGCAAGGGAACACGCGGTTGGCGCGGCTCTTCTTAGGGGCAGTGGAGGAAGCGGATAGACGGTTCTTTGCCGCTGCACTTGATACAGGAGGACAGTTCACGCAGCACCGGTGCCAGTGCAGCATGTTGGGGTGTAGGGATGTAGGCGAAGCTTTCCTGCTGTCAGGATATACCGCTGAGGATCTGGCTCGGCTTGCAGGTTTCGCGGAAACGGGGGACACCATTCAGTCCCTGGGCCACTGGTCTCAAAGCTCAGCCAAGCCGTGGGCATTGGCGGCAGCAGTGAGACTTCGGAGTTCGGGATGCTGCGAGCCTAGGCGGGCCTACCAGCAGCGAAGCACCTGAGGATGCCATGAGGCTCTTTCCTCCAGATCCGACAGGCCGGGACGCTTCCCGGCCGTTCGCTTCGCCGTTCTCTCGTGCCTTTCCAAGGCGGGAAGAACGGCGGCCTGGCCTCATCCGGCCTTGACGACGGCGGCTGGAGTTCAAGCCTAGAAGGAGAAGCGATGCACCTTTGCAGTGTTGCCGCAACTCTAGATACTTCACCCGCAGGAGTGCCTCCGGAGTGGTTGACTGACGAGCCCGTCTGTGAGATCGATTCCATCTCCGTCGGGCAGTTTGATTGGGATACCTTCGAGAAGCATTATTATTCCGCTCGGAGGCCCTTGCTGATCCGTGGAGGTGTGAGGATGAGTGCCTCCGACAGGGCCAAGTTCACTCGTGCTGGCTTGCTCGGAATTGCCGGTAGTCGCAGGGTGACAGCGTATTCGACGCCCTACGAGAACGATTTCAGGGAAGTCGCTCCTGTGGAGATGCCCCTGGCAGACTATGCAACCTTCTTGGATCAAAGGGTCCAAGACCCAGCAAGCAACTTGAGCTACGTCTTCGAGCGTCTGCCGGAGGACGAAGGGCCCTTGGGCGTCGCACGCGAGGTCCCGAAGCTCTTGCGAAGCCGTGTGGACCTGCGCTCGGCACAGTTCACGCTCGGGGGCGCATTGATGGGCTCCCCGCTGCACCACCACGTGGACGCTGCAACTCGGCGCCGTCACGCACGCTGCATGCACCACACACTTGGTCACGTCTTTGTCGCCTGTCAGGCGAATTCATTGCTCTTCGGGAAGAAGCTTTGGTTCCTGAAGCCTCCGGCACAGCAGGAGTTCCGCAAGACCACCGTCTACGAGGAGCGTCCCTGCGGTAGCAGTGATGAGCAGTGATGAGCGCTCAGCATGGCGCAAAAGGTGAGCGCTGCTCTGCAGGATTTACTGGCCAGTGGCGGGCCACCGGGCTTGAAAGTCTTGCAGCAAGGCGGAGACCTGCTCTACGTGCCGCAGGACTGGGCGCATGGCGCCCTCTGTACCTGGGCAGAGACGAGCAGAGACGCGCCTTGCGACTTGCGACTTGCCGGACTTTTTGCCTTGTCAGGTTTGAACCAGTGCATCGGCCTGGCTCATGAGTTTGACGTGAGAGCTCAGAGCATCCCCGTGCCGGTAGAGACCGTGAATGCTGGACTTGGAGTAGCTCTCGCAGGAGTGCTGGCATTTTCCATTTTCATTATTACCTGGATCATCGAGCGTGTCTGACCTTGGCGATTGTCGGAAAGAACGCTTGCATCCCTCTCCCCCTCTCTCCCCTCTCCCCCCTCTCTCTCCCCCTCTCCCCCCCTCTCTCCTCCTCCCCCTCCCCCTCTCCCCCTCCCCCTCTCCCCCCCTCTCCCCCTCTCCCCCTCTCCCCCTCTCCCCTCTCCCCCTCCCCCCTCTCCCCTCTCCCCTCTCCCCCTCTCCCCCTCTCCCCCTCTCTCCCCCTCTCCCCCTCTCCTCTCCCTCTCCCTCTCCCCTCTGCCTCTCCCTCTCCCCCCTCTCTCCCCTCTCTCCCCTCTCTCCCCCTCTCCCCTCTCCCCTCTCTCTCTCTCCTCTCTCTCTCTCTCTCTCTCTCTCTCTCTCTCTCTCTCCTCTCTGTCTCTCCTCTCTCCTCTCTCCTCTCCCCCTCCTCTCTCTCTCCCTCCCTCCCTCTCTTCCCTCTCTCCCTCTCTCTCCTCTCTCCCTCCCTTCTCTCCTCTCCTCTCTCTCTCTCGCGCTTCTCGCACGCTCTCACTCTCTCACGCTCTCACTCTCTCACTCTCTCACTCTCTACTCTCACGCTCTCACTCCTCTCTCTCACTCTCTCACTCCTCCTCTCTCTCTCTCTCTCTCTCTCTCTCGCTCTCTCCTCTCATCTCACTCTCTCTCCTCTCTCTCCACTCTCTCACTCCATCTCACTCTCTCACTCTCTCACTCTCTCACTCTCTCACTCTCTCTCACACACACACACACACACACACTCTCTCTCTCTCTCTCTCTCCCTCCGGCTGTTGTTGTGTGACCTTGCGTGTTGCACACAAGATGCTAGGTTCCTCTTTGTTGCGGTGCACATCGGCTCTATCAGGGCTTAGCTCGAGACCGAACATGTCCATATATGTTTTGCTTGCCGCTACAAGGCTCGTCGTGGCTCTGTCGCTGACGGGTCTGCGAGGTGACCGGGGGGAGAAGATTCTGACCGTTGTGGATTCGCACGGTGCCCCCGGTGCCCCTCAGGGATCTGCCTCAACTCAAAAAGCGGGCCCCGCAGCTCGAGGAGACGGCGATGCCCCAACAGAGCAAGATCTGAAGAATTTTTCTGGAGACTGGCTTTTCCATGTTCGCACCACGTCCTGTCATGGTGATGTTTTCGACAACGGAACCTACACAGCCACTTCCCGCGCATTCTTGCCGTTGTTGTGTGGTGTTTGTGTCATCTTGGTTGCTTCGACACGGCACAGCGCGGTCAAGCCGCGTGCAGACGAGGGAGGCGAAGGCGGTGAAGGAAGCACAGTGGCCGCTCAGACGCGGCTTTGGCACGTCGACTTTGCCAGAATTTGTGCGGTGATGTGCGTCATCTTTGAGCACAGTGGTAAGAGCCTCAGTCGATTCGTTGTCGCTTTACAGTTTTCCTGCGCTGACCCTGTTCGCTTTGCTCTTTGCTGGCGTTGGTGATGGCAGCTCGCTGCCGTGATCGGTCTCATCGAAGTCTTCGTCATAAGTCATAAGAGTGAAACAAGAAGTGCCCTTGGTGTGCAACTACCAACTAATTACTACTTACTGTCGACAATAACCATGAACCGTGTTGCTTGCCTAGTCAGAATCACTGTGGCACTCAAGTTCGGCATTTTCACCAGCATAGGTTTGTCCGAGGAGCCCGCGGCCCCTCTCGACTGGCTTCATCTGCAGGGCTTGTTCTTCAATGCTCAAGACACACAAGCAAGGATGACGAAGTCATGTCATGACAGTCAGAGTCGGCTTGGCTTGTTCGTCATGGTAGCCAATGCTCGGTTGCTGTGTTGACACTCCGCTGGATCGGGGGATAAATGCAGCAAAACGCCGGCACGGGTGCGATACAGAGTGCCCTCAGCAGCACTCACGTCCTCAAAGGTGTTTACATCGTTCAAGCCTGCAAACAACGGGGCTTTTGTTGAAAGAGTTACCGTGCAACCTTAGAAGATCGCGAAGTTTTTTCAAATGCGTGGGATGAGGAGCCGACTGAGCTGACCATCCAAGCTCTAAATGCGCCCCCGTTCGAGAAGCTGATCTCTGCACAACAGGCTCAACATGCTGGCGCACGGAGCTCCTCGGCCATCGACGTGCATCTGTAAACCCCAAAACTTGCCGTCAGACTCCATGCCCAACAAAGAAGGGTGCACTGCACATGCGCTGGTTTGGAGCCCGTCGCCCCAGTAAGCCGTGACATCCTTGTACCACCTTTGGGCTCCACCTCCTTGGCCAGGCAAAACACATCCCAGCACAAGCTCGAAGGTTTCGGAGCCAATCTACAACCGCGCTATGGTACTTCCTGCGCCACTGTCAGCTATGCAGCAGCGATGTTCGTTACATGAAACACATAATCACTCTGCTTGTGTTTGTTTCCCCAAGCGGCACATGCAATGCCAATGCTGGGGCCAACCGACAGGCCACCGACGATGAAGCCGGTGCGAAAAGGTCTTGACGTCCTTCAAGCCAAGCCTACTCTTTTCCTAGAATTCGAGATTTTCTCAGCCAAACGTTTTTGTTGCATTTCAGCTCCCACAGCGAGTGTTGAGATGATTTGGTTTAGATCCGATAGCAACGAAGTCGACGCCAAAAGAACTTGTATGTGATTGAGTCGGATGGTTTCAACATGGTCCGCGATGTCGTCCAGGCGCAGAATTCTGCTGCTGAAGAATAGGCCTCATCTTTCACTCTCGGGAACATAAACTGTTGATTCGACTTTGCCAACTCATTATTTACCATCTCTAGGTCACCGTCTTTGCCCTCCAGGGAAAGCTCGTACTCAGCGAGGCTCGCTTTGTCCGAAATCCAATTCCAGAGGCTCATCTGCACGCCAACGGACAAATGCCAAACGGCTCAACAAGTTGATGGTTTACTTGTGGATCCGCCAATTCGCTCGGTGCACCACTTTACATCTGTGAGCGCGGGGTACCTGCTGAAGACGCCCAACCTCGGCTTCACTCGGACTGGGTGGATCCGAAGCGGCTTCATGTCTCAAATCTCCCGGGACAGATTCTTTCCAACCCTTTGGTGCAAAACCAACTTGCCACCAAGATTGCAAAGCCGTGCTCCCACGGCGCAACCTCAACAATGGCTCCAAGTTCGCTTAGGCTCCATGCATTTGACAGGCTGCGAGCGTGTTCGTGAAGTTTTTGTGCACGCGACCGTTTCTGAACCGCAGGCTGGGCTGAAGCTCCACTGCCATGAAAATAGTACATCAAACCCCGAGATTCTACGCCGGTGCTAACGCCCAGCAAAGCAAATGTTTTTGCTTGGCTCGGACCGCTCGTGGTGGCGCTTGCTGGACATGCTCGTTGCGGACTCTCCTGCAAGATTCAACAAGCTTATGGTTAGCCACGGGCCACGGGTACCACACTGGTGCGAGCCAAACTTAACGAAGTCAGGCTTATAGAACGGGAGATTGTGTCAACGCAGGGACGGCAAACACTTCTTCAGTGCATCCCCAGGCGCCTGGTGCCCACACGCAGTGGTTCAGCCTCCCGCTTCTCGGCAGCAAGACGACTCCTGGGTGGTCACCGATACCTTGGTAGTACATTCGACAGCACGGGAACCCAAGATTATCGCGCTTCACTCCAATCAAAGACTGCACCTGAAGCAGAAGCAGGCGCAGGCGCACTGTTTGGGGTTGCTCGGCGAAGTTGTAAATGCGCTCCGCACCACAGCAGGAGCGCGCCGACACGCAGCGCCACGTGAAAGGGTTGCTCGGGCAGTAAAAACATGTGCACCGATACACGGAAGAACGCACATCGACACGCACGATCCTTGTTTGGGGTTCATTATCGTCGAATGCGGTGGGACCGCCCCCGACATTAAAAAAATATTAAAAGAAGACTATAAGAGACGAGAACAAGGCCAGATCGAAAGAATTTCAAGAGGCTGTTAAGCTGCTATGTAGCTGCTATGACCTATGAAAATATTCGGAGTATAAATAAACTGTTATCAAAATACTAGGAGTTCAAATATTCTATTATTCAAAGACTAGGAATACTAGGAGTTTAAGTGGGCAGTGCAATCATAAGTGGTGTAGCATAGGTGGTGTAGAAAAGCAGCGTGTAAGCAAGCAATGTTAAGGAAAGCATGTAGACCAGAGGGGTGTAAGCAAGCAATGCTACTGAAAGCATGTAGACCAGCAGCGTGTAAGCAAACAATGTTAGTGAAAGCAGTGTAGCCGCCAAATAGTCACCAACGAATTGTTCAATTTAAACCCTTCGCAGAGCTCTCGGGAACTAGATCCAATGCAACCAGCCGAGCCACCTTTGCAGTCTCAAACCTAGCCAGATGATGTGGAGTCGTTGTTGAGCTTGTTTGAGCCTTCCCGACCTGATAAACATTTACCCCGTACCTCACATGTGCGTAGTTTCACCTGTTTTTTTGGTCGTTTTCACTTGATACCAGAGCTTGGACTGATTGTTTGTGCAGGCATGGCACTTTTCATGGTAGCAGGGCCGTGACGGTTCGTGTTTTGGGATACCCGAGCTCCGGAGTGGCCAGGCTCGCCAGCTTTGCAAGTGTGTCCGTGAGGGGGTGATCCTCTTCATAGTTCCTTCGCGAGCTGCAGCGAAAAGTTCTTTGACTGCGAAGCGAACTTATTCGAGAGCCGTTGGACGGCAATTTACTTCAAGGCATTCGGTTCATTTGTGGGGGCTCTAGCGCTTGAAGTTTCGAAAGCGTGTGAATCAAGTGCTTAGAGCATTGCAAGCCTATCTACAACTCCGGGTCGCCGGGTCGTTGTTGCACGGCCACAGCTAATCCGAACCAGCCATTCTGACACCGCTGGACTGTTCCTTGGTAGCTGTTGCACATGCGATCCCGAACTAGAATCCCCCCAAAGGAAAAAGAAACAAATTGCTCCCAGGGCTAGCAAACTCATTTAGCACGGCCTGAAACTCCTGTTGACCTTGGGCCGCAAGCTGTGATTGCACGTTCCTGAGCCGGGGACATGCGCATGTTCCAATTCACGCACGAGCTGGAGTGCTTGACGCTTGTTAACTAAGGACACCCACTCTTCATGTTCGTGTCCAGCCGCCCCATCCGCGTGCGTAAAAACTTGGAGCTCTGACTTTTTCGTCCATTTGACACTACGGGCAAATTGCTTTATTAGAGAGCCCAACGAAGGGATTGTCTGCATCTCAAGTACTTCCTTCACTTCCTCACTTGCCGCGACAGTAAAGGTTTACTTGAAACCGGAACGCGTTTTGTCAGTCATAAAAGTTCGCAAGAACGCACTGACAGTTTGTATTTTTGCGAAGCGGGCTTTCACTTGTCGCCTCATGCGCCAAAATGCGGAAGAAGACGAAGAAGAGCGAAAGCTAATGCAATTGACTTGCAGCTGCAGTCCGAGAAGTGAAAGCTGATCCCTCCAGCCTAAGGACAATCACGAACATATACGGTGTGGATCGGTGTGGTAAAGTTGAATGTATGCTCCTTTGGCTTTTCCTTTGCAGGCCAAGCATAGTGTCCTCAATGGTGCGGGCGGAGAGTAGATGCAGATAGCATGACATCCATCTGTGAAGCCCGAAGCACGACTGTCCACGTGATTCACCTAGGCGGCGAAACTTACACGCACAGGAACGTGGGCTTTGGGTTGTGGTGGGCCTTGCCGTACTTGTACATCACCAGTGGGATGTCTTCCATGATGTCGAAGTCGAGCCTTTGGGGATACGTGATTCGGCTGGTGGTGGTGTTTGCGGCAGGAGTCTCAGCCAACTTGTTCGCAGATTTGGTGAAGCATCGGGATTGGCGGCACGATTTCGGGAACACGATCTTCCAAATGTTCTTCGTGATCATGTTGCTCATCATGGCCCCGCTGGCCGAGCCGCTGCGTCAAGCTTTGAGGTCACGGAAACAACAGGGCGAAGTCTCAAAAGCCACTGTCGCCTTTACCGTCTTTTGGGGCGCTGTCTCTGCAGTGGCACTCGCTTCTTTCGTGAGAGGCTACACCGGCGATTCGCCAGACTTTGTGACTCAGACCTTTGAAGATGAGGAAGTATCTCGTTGGATCAAGCTTTATGCCCCCATACTACGTCATACCCCGATTATTCTGGTTCATGTTGCAGGCACCCTGTTCTTGGGTCTGCTGGCGACCATCCTTTGCCAACCTGAAAACACCGGCCTTGTCGGTTGGGTGCTGCTGGCATTCACTTATCTGCAAATGGTCATTGTGCCATGGGACCAGGATTCCTTTGCTCATTTGGTGAATTTGAACATCGTGGGCATGTTGACTTTCCAGTGGCCACTGGCCGGTAGCAATTACATAGCCACTGCAGTGAAGGCATACTGGCCATTTTTGCTTATGTTCCTTTGCCTAGATTCAATGCCGGATATGTGGGGGCGTTGTGACGTGCATTCGCCATACTCCACTTGGGATGCTTGGCTTCAGGGCAGTCATGTTTGGAGCTGTTTGTTTGCTTGTTTTCTGCGTTGCGATACCTTCTCTGGTGGCCTAGGAGAGGTTCCGCATGTTCCTCGGGGAGTTGATCTTGGTTGTCTGCTTTATGGCCGGTGCTTTCACACCCTCAGATCCGCATAAGATCACCTCTTGGCTGGGACAGTGGTCGCTCTACGCCTACTGCTTCCATGTAATGTGGTATCGATTGCTGGGAAGTCCATATGGCGCGGCTTGACTTCAAGCTGTCGGTAGTGCTGTCAGGGTTGTCTCGATGCTTTGACCTTTTTCAGTGGTGGGGGCGTGCGCGGCGCGCGCTTTCGGCAGGCCATCGTCACCTTTGCTGGCATGCCGGTCTTCTGGGCCATTTCGGCTGCCTGTGTGCAACCGACGCAGAGGCCGAACGCAAAGTGAGCAGCGGAGCTCCACACGACAGCCGCGGGGGGCCGTGTCACTGAAAAGAGCTTGGGGGACGGCGGACAGGTCAGACTTGTTCTTGATGAGAGTGATAAATCCCCCCACCGACTGCAGCATGGATCGCAGCATGTCGTAGCAGAGTTGAGAGAATGCTGGCGCCTTGGGCGCCCGCTCTCGCGTTAGTTCTTGCTGGCGCCCAGCGGGTCGTTCCATCCTGGCGCCAAGTACCGGGCGATGTCGACTGGCTTCCCACCTACATCCGCCTTTTTAGAGGACCCCCGCCACGAGATCTCTTGTGTCGTGTTTCCCAGGTTCGATGGCTGCGGCTATGGCAACGAGATAATTCGTGGGAGCATTTCTGCAGGACTCGAACACAACAAGGCCCGAAGTGCAGAAAGTGCGGGGGGGAAAAGAAAGGCTTCGGCTCCTTGAGGGTTCCAAGCAGTTCCAAGGTGCGAAAGCATGTCGCAATGTGCTTGTCCCACTGTGGACCTCCTTCCTGTACGCTGAAAGCAGCAGATCCCGGCCAGCATTCAGGATGCCCTTCATCGTGGTTTCGGGTATGCTTTTTCCTGCCGGCTAAGGAGACGGACTGCGACTGCTTGAAGTGCACGATGTTCTGTCTTTCAAGAGGCTCCTATGTGGATTCTTGCTTGAATAATCATACGTACGATCTCTGCTCGAGCTTTGCGGCCAGCATCGAAGCGAACAGCCGCCGCCTCAGCCGCTTCAGCCTTTTGGAGGACCCGTGACCAGACGCGTTTCGTCCGGGCAAGCGGAAGCCCAGGCTCAAGCTCTCCGCAAATGGGCTCCGCCGGCTCCGGGGGCGGCTGTGAGGTGAACTGCAACGCTGCCTTCGGAAGATGGCCGCTACCAGTCTCGCTCGCTCTGAGTCTGAGCCTCCTGAGCCTCGCTGCCCCCGCCGAAAGCGGGACCTTCCTCTAGGCCAGGCCTCGGCGCCTAAGAAGCCGCGCTAGGGGCCCTTCTAGTGGCGGCTTTCGTCTCACCTTTGCCCGCCGGGACTCTGAAACGGGTGCTCCAGGGAAAAGCCGGGAGGGCGAGGGCGAGGAGGAGCGTGTGTTTTCAGGGCATTCTTTTTTTTTGGCTCCGAGGACCTGTGGGCCTTCGGGGGTTTTGAGAGGGAGTTCCGATGCCTGGCCAGATGGAGCCCGGCCGTCGTCTGAGCGCATCTCTAAACCCTTTCAGAGCATTTTCTACTTTGCTGCTCAGAGCGTCTTCGGTTTTCAGGTCTGCCATGGGTAGAGAAGTATCGGCCGGAGCGAATCGAGGAGGTCGCCCAACAGGAGACAGTGACTTCGACCCAACTGCGAGGTACAGTGTTGAGAGTCATGTAGACTTCGAATGACCAGGAAGAAGTGGTCTCTGCACTGAAGCACAGCCTTCAAACAGGCCAAAGCAGCAGGCTTTGCTCGCTCTCACGCCTTGAGAAGAGCTCAGGTGAGTTGCCCAACCTCATGTGGGGCCCCCAAAGCAGAGCAGAAGGACCTTGTGGAGAGGCCACGCAGCCAACTCTGCGAGGTTCTACGGTCCTCCAGGAACGGGCAAAACGACGGTGGTCGGGGACCGGGAATGGCAAGTCCCGACCCCCTCTCTTTCGGAAGTCTCTGAGGCCCTGGCGTTGATGAAACAGTTCTTCGGCAAGGACTGGCGATCCCGCGTCAAGGCCATGCAGACTCCATTTCGATTTCGATACAGTAGTGGCCTCCCATCCATGAGCCAACAGGAGCTGAATGCCTCAGACGAGCGTGGGATCGTTGCCGTCCGAGAAAAGGCAGAGGTTATTATACGGTTATTATATCAAATCGCACTGTCGTGTGGTTCAAGACGGCAGGTGAAGACCTTTGCGCAGTTGGCAATCGGTTTTCCTGGCAGCATCTCAGAAAACCAGGGCATCCAGGGCGCACGCGAAGAAATCATGCAGACCCCCTGGCATTATTTCCTCCCCAAAAGTAGCACCAATGGATTGGACAGCCATTTCACTCTCAATTGATGTTTCCCTTCCCCTGGCATTGTGTCTTTCCCGAATTACAACAAGAATAGTAATCATAATCGTATTAATTATAACAAACCTAGTAATGTCAGCAATAAAAGCAAGGGATCCCTTGGGTCAACATGCAAATTTGGGGGTCAACATGCGCAGCTCGATTTCCGGGATGCAAACTTTATGGTACAACCTGTAAAGGTGGGTTTTCGAGATGCAAACGGCTGGGGTCGTGGTAGAATGGTATAATAGCAAAAGGTAGAGTAAAGCAGGACATAGTAGAATAGTACAGTGTTGAAATACTGAAATAGTAAACTAGTACACTCCTGGTAAACCGGCGCAGGTCGGTTTCCGAGATGCAAGAATAGTATAATAGCAAATCGTGGAGTAGTTAAGGTAAAATGGTCATAGTAGAATAGTACAGTACTGAAATAGTACAATAGTACAGTATCGAAATAGTAAAATAGTAAAATCCTGGTGAACCGGCGCAGGTCGGTTTCCGAGATGCAAAAGGCTGGGGTCGTGGTAGAATAGTACAATAGCAAATAGTAGAGTAGTGAACCGTAAAATAGGACATAGTAGAATAGTACAGTACTTAAATTGCAAGACATGAGTCCCTGCCCTTTGTACACACCGGACATGCGAATACCGAAGCCCTTTTGCGCTTGAAAAGAAAGAGTTTGATGGTAGCGGAGCCTGTGGGCTCCAGAAACCTGTTTCACCGCATAAGAGCCATAGTTTTTTCTTTGCTGGTCGCCAGCTGCGGCGGCTGCACTTTCGGGTGCCCACCGCCAATCCTTGCTGTAAGTCCCCTGGCTGGGGCGTGCCCGCATTTCGCTGGAGGGTTTTCGAGGGCAGAGTGGCCCGGTCAGTGCCTGGGACAGAGGAGGCAGCTGGGTCAGTGCGTGAGGAGTTTTCCTGGTTATTTGGCGAGCGGTGGAACACGTGGAAGGGAGAGCTGGATTCTTCGAGCGGCGGCTCGGCTTAGCAGGTTTCAACTTGCAGCCGCGCAAGCTGCTGGGAAGATGGACGGCCAGCCTCCCAATGGTCAGCAGATGGGGCCTCAGCAAGGGGCCGTGCCGCAGCAAGCTGCTGCTCAGGGCCTTGGGGCCGACGACATCGACAGAATGGTGAGGCAGAGGCTGGAGCAGGCTTTCCATGGTGTGTTCCGGCGCTTGGTGGATACGACCGAGCGAGCGGCCCAAGCTGCAGAGGCGAATGCTACGGCCAACAGGTTTGAGGGAATGGTCCGCCCTATGAAAGTGGATGTGTGGAAGCCCCAGACGCGTGAGGAGGAGCTTCGCACATGGAAGGAATGGGCCTTCCAGTTTGTGAACTGGCTGGTGGCCAACGACAGTGGCTACGAAAAGGACCTCGACGAGCTGGACCTAGAGGTGGAAGTGAGCCACGCCTTGCTGAGTGACGCTGCCGTGGCCCGCTCCCATCGCCTTTTCGGCGTGCTTTGCAACTTGGTGAAGGGCCGGCCGCTGCTGCTTGTGAAGCAGGCCGCTGCTGAGAAAGGTGGCTTGGAAGCCTGGCGCCTCCTGAGGCGCGAGATGGAGCCTCGCGAGAAGGCCCGTTCTTTGGCGTTGGTTCGCCAGTTGGCGGCCTGGAGCTTCGATGACAAAGCCCGTCACGAACAGCTTGTGAAATATGAAGAAGCCCTGAAGATGTATGAGGTCAGCAGTGGTGGCACCGCCTTCCCCGACGAGCTGGTTTTAGCTACTGTTATTACTGGCTTGAAGGAGCCCTTGAGGTCGCAGATCCAGATGAGGATCCAGCCTAAGACTACGTATGCTGAGGTGCGCTCTTGGATCCTCCAATACGAAAGCTTGAACGCCCCGTGGAGTGTGACGCTTTGCGGCAAGGGTGGAGATCCAGGAGGAGTTGCGCCAATGGAGATCGACCAGATCAAGGGCAAGAAGGGGAAGTTCGGCAAAGACAAATGCGCGCCGAAGGGCAAGGATGGAAAGGGAAAAGAAGGAAAAGGAAAGGGCGGCAAAGCGTGGCAGCACCAAGGCGGCAAAGGTGGTTGGCATGGCAACGGTAGCTGGCAGCAAGGCTCCCAGCAGCAGGGCCAATGGGCAAGCTGGAAGCCGCAGAAAGGAGATGCCGGCAAGAAGGGTGCTGGCAAACAGAGCAAGTGCCACACGTGCGGCCAAGCCGGCTGGGAGTGCCCGATGAAAGGCAAGAGCAAGGGTGTCAACCAGATTGGTGCCGCCTCGAGCACTTATGCCCCTTCGGTTGCTCCCTCTTCGGCCTCAGCCACGACGGTGCCCTCTTCAGCTTCCGCCCTCCACCAGCAAAGCAGCAGGGCCAACAATGTGAACATGATCACCATGGGGACGCCGCCGGGCTGCAGAACGACACACGTCTTTGATATGAGCGAGCTTGACCAGGAGCTTGGCGACTTCTCCCTCGAGGCCGGCGACGTGATGACCATTACTGTCCTCGAGCCCTACCCCGGGAAGATTTTCGATTACATGTTGCCGGGCTACCTGAAGCAAATCGAGGACGGAGACGGAGGCTTCTTTGAGCTTGAAGACCAGGCTGACTATGGCAGGTCCCAGGAAGCTTTCGAGTACATGTTGCCTGGCTACCTGGAGCAAATCGAGAACGGAGACGGTGGCCCCTTGAGGTATAGGCTAGATGTCACAGATGGAGACGGCGAGTGGACAGTTCCCTGGTATGAGCCCAATACGCGAGAAGAGCTGCCAGTGGCCTGCGTGAGGGCGGTGACGGTTCAGCCCAGCCAGGTGGAGGTCGTAGTGGACTCGGGGGCTGACGTTTCGGTTGCTCCCCTCGCCTTTGCTGGCTGCGGGCAGCCCACAGAGCTGTCTCATGTTCAAAGCCGGATCATGGACGTGGAGGCGAAGACGCTAACGGGTGAGGCGGTGAACATCAGGGAGAAGTTCGCCGTGGCCCGCGTGGGTTCATTATGTCACTGGGCCGGCTGATCAGAGCTGGCTGGCGCCTGGGCCACACCGGGAACGGGCCCACCATAGAGCGTGAGGGGCTGGTCGTGCCAATCCGGCTGCGCAGGAACACCCTCACGATGATGGCCACGGTGTCGGTGATCGCCTCTTCGGCGGCGAGCCCCTCTTCAGCTGATGGTGTTCGTGCTGTTGGGGCCTTTGAGGATATGGGCCCTTTGCCGCCGGAGGCCGAGGACGTCATGGGCCAACCGGGCTGGCACATAATGGGAGGTGGCCTTCCACTGCTCGTGGGCCACAAGGCGACGGAGGTGGCTGTGGAGCAGTTTCTTTGGGAGACAGACGACTGGGCTTCGCTGGCCGTCTTTGTTCGCCACCCGTTTGCCTCGTGCTGGGGACGTGTGGGTCCAGATCTACTCCCTCGACACCAAGAAGTTCGAGGACGCCACAAAAAGGTCTTTGAGGAGATCGACCCTGAGCTGCGCGGCGCCCACGACTATGCCGTGCTTTTCCACGTCGACAGCTTGCCGCACAACCTCTTGAGTAAGCCGGGGGATTTCTTCAAGGAGCCCTTGGACGATGGCGGGGCACCCCACGTGCCCATGCAGGAGGACGACGGCGATGGCGTGGGAATGATGCCCGAGAAGATGGTGGCCGAAGGGCGCGACATGAAGGAGGCCGAGCCCGACGGGGATATCCTGGACGGAGTTGCGCTCAGCGTGGAGACCAACCTGAAGACGCTAAAGGAGCTCTGCGTTAAGTTCGGCCTCAGCACAAGTGGCAGCAAGAACAAAGTCCTCAGGCGCCTTAAGCTCCACCACGAGGTGCTGGAGAAGCAGCTTAGCACCGAGGTCGCCCGAAAGATGTACCAGGAGATGGAACGTGACCCGCTGATGCCAGCGGCCCCGGTCCTCCCTAGCGCCCGCCAGCAGGAGGTTCACAACGTGACCCATCAGGACGGCCACCATGAGAAAGAAGTTCGGCCCGAGGACCGCGTGAACCCGGTGATCCAGATCGACTATTGCTACACGTTCACAAAGACGCGGCACGAGGAGGAGGACCCAGCCCCTCAGGCCGATGATGGCCCTGGCCTTGGCGAGGCTGTGAGCGAGGACGTGCCGGGGGAGGTGGACGAGAAGCCGGAGGATTACCGGGACCAGTTCGGGCTAACGCTTGTGGGAGGAGAGTCAACGACTGGCTGGGTGATTGCGGTGCCCGTTCTGCAAAAGGGCGCCGGCTCCCTCAAGCCCGTCACTGAGCAACTTGTTCGGACCAGCATGCAAATAACAGCGGGCGAGGTGGCTTTCCAAGGGGACCCGGAGCCAGCGATCAAGCAGATCATCAACAGCGTGGTCGCGTGCCGGGCCAAGCTGGCCTTGAAGACTGAGAGCCGCCTGGTACACAGGGGCAGCCACGCCTCAAATTGTTTGGCCGAGAAGAACGTGAACACCGTCCGGACCAACGCCCTGACCCTGAAGGCCCACGTGGAGGAGAGAGCTAAGGTCGTCCTTGAAGGGCACCGCCACATATATTCCTGGCTGATGCGGCACGCGGCCTTCCTCTTCAACAGGTTCCATGTGGGTGTCCGCAGTGCACCGGCCTACGAGATCATGTTTGGGAAGCGCTTTCGCGCTAACCTTCTCCCCTTCGGCGAGCAATGCATCTTCCATGCACCGTCGCGACACAAAGGAGACCTACAGTGGCAAAGGGGAACTTGGGTGGGCCTCAACGAGCGGACTGGAGCCCATTGTCCTGACTCCCGACGGAGCCAAGGAGAGCCGGAGCATAAGAAGGCTGCCTGCCGAGGACCAGTGGCAAGCCGACCTCATCGTGAACAACAAAAACCTGCCCTGAGACTATGGCGGCACCAAGAGGAGAAAAAGGCCTCTGTACACCTCGGCGCGTGTGCCGCTCCTTCCCGACACTGCTTCTTTGGAGGAGTTGG